CTCCAACCTCCGTCTGTAAAATATTTTGCCGATCTTATTTAAAGCAACTATTGAAAATTAATTATAAAACAACGATTTATAGATTTATAGTTTCTCACCTAACCGGTTTTTATCCCTATGATTGGTTTAATAGAACAATTACGAATCACACCATAAAGCTTTGTTTTACTATCTTTTGGAGTTGTATATCGAAATGCTCGGGATGACTTCGTAAGGATGAACAATGTTTCAATATCATTGAAAATTCTTTTCAATTCTCTTCTCATTTTGGTGGTTTAATATAATGTGTAAAAATGGATTATGAGGAAAAACCATTTCATTTGAGAATATATAATTACTTTTGTTGTGTCGCATCTAAATATATTAGGAATGTTTGGAGTGTCATTTGGCTTCAACATTAATTGCCTTTATTATATTTACGTTATTTTTCGCATGGACAGGACTCTAGTTGGCTTCACTAATACTAATAATTTTATATTGATCAAATATTGTGTCAATTCAATACGTACTTGCACATGGTGAAGGCATGCAAAGTTGTGTTTTAGAATTGTCTCCGAAACAATGATTTCCAGCAAAACTTGGTGGTGGATTAGAACATGTCCTCGTGCGACGCTGCAAACCCATGTCACAAGTTACTGAACATGTACCCCAATGTGACCAATCACTCCATCCGCCATGAACTTGAAATCAAACGATAATGTGCTAATTTAAATTGAATAAAGCTGTATTGAACTAGCTTTAAATCAAGAAAATATTCATTTTTGTTGTAACAATAATTATGAGAAAGAAAATAAATTGAAATGAACTGGAAAACAGTGTTGTATAAAATAAGAGTGTTATTTTTAACTCCCTCGAGAATTGACAATAAGGTAATGAAAAAAGTGATAGAACCGATTCTTTTAATAATACGTATGCGGCATGTACATGTTTAAATCCTATACTTAAAACCTAATAATAATGATAAATGAATGATTTGCTCTCACTAATTTGTAATTGGGTCACACTTATATTTTTACCGGTATTTAATAGATCTATGTGCTTATTTATATCAAAAAGCTGTATCACATAATCTAATATTGTCATTGAAAATTGTTTAGACCTTACCTGGGCATGGTTGTTCTTTCTTACAAACTTTTGTCATTATCCCGTCTCCAACACAATTAAGGCCACCATTCTTTGGTGCCAGATGAGTGCAGGTTCTAGTCCGAGTTTGGTGTCCATTTTCACAGGTTACATCGCACTTACTCCATGTAGACCATAATGTCCAGTTTCCGTCAACTAAAATATACTGTCAATTTACAATTTTCCTCTCTGACTTTAATCATAAATATTTCAATCAAACTTTTGACAAACAATTATTAAATCGAATGTTAATATTTAAATTTAATATACGATTTACGTAGACCTTTCTTGACATGATAACTCTACAGCTTATGGTGAATGTACGAACAGTAAGATATTGTTTTTTAAATATATCCTAACACATAAAACAGGAAAAATGATTGTTGACCGTGGACAATGTATTGCATGTACAACGTTTTGGTACTGTCTTTCCTAAATATTATTGGCCGAACCTGTCGTGATGAAGTTGCTATGGATTGTTAATTACCCATTGCAGTTAGTGTTATTGAAATAAATGTTTAAATTGAAAACTTATTGTTACTTGTTAATGGTATGGCACCTGAAATTGTTGTTTAGTATAATAGCAGTTTTCCTCGACACTTAAAATCACTCCCCGGTTGATGCCTCTTACATATGATGCAAAGTGAAATATCTGGACAAAAAGGAATACATACCGATACAGAGTCCACAGAATTTTGCACACACGCTTTTAGCGTGTGCTACGTCACTACAGATGCTAAAAATAGAATTCAATCTAGCACAGTCCACCGATTCGTCATCCATACATGCTCTTGCTGAAATATATACAAGTTTGCTTCTTTAAAAAAAGCATGCCAAAGTTCCTTTTGAAGCTGTGGAAGGTTTGTTTAATTCGAGATATTTTAGTATAAATGGCACAATGAATGTTTATAAATTACAATCATTTAACATAATCCAATTTATTACTTATATTGAATAAAGTATCCTAATGAAAGTTTGTTTTTACAGTTCAATTTTTTATTGTTTTGAAGAAAAATATGCCGAAGAATTGGACATTTTCTTGGCGTATCAGGGATATTTTTCTACAAAGGGCAGACTAAAATTTATGTTAACAAACTAAACTTAAAATAAATGATATACATTAAAGGAAGTATCAAAATAAAAGTTTCTTGTACATTCAATAATTAAATTTTCGATCATTTTTTTGGTAAGCTCAATGTCGGTACACGGTACACTTGGTCATTTAATAGTACATGGTGATATTGTAGCTTATAGTTCACTGCTACTATTTTCGGAACATGAAATAGTAAAACCTAATTCAGAGAACAGTAATCGATTTATACAAATTAAAGGATTAAAACGGAATGAACCATTGCTCGTAGTGTTAAGTCACATAAATGATAGTTTCCGATTTTCTTTGTACCGATTTGTCCACTACAATGTTAAATTTTCGTTTAAGTTAAGTCCTTTTTCAAGCGGAGCATGCCAATAACAATGTCTGTAGACTGATTCTAATGAGTTGAGGCTTAAAATCCGGTGTATTTACTTCAATTTGATGCACAAAAGCGGATGCCGCCAGCAATCATTCTCAACACTGTGGAGAGAGAGGTCTAAAGACCTCTCCAATAAATTTTTTATTTGTATGTAAAGAGTTCTGTAACTAATACACATTTTTGACTGCAAATTATACGTAATGTTTGAAAGGCATATATATACAGTCTATACGAATAAATGGTAAGCCAACATGTTTTGTTTGTGATTATGACTTTTGATTGTTTTGACTTGTAACTTATATTTTTCCAAAAATTCGAATCAGTGGTTGGTTAATTAAATAATTATCAATACAATGACGAAAAATAGAGAAAATGGAATTTGTGGGGTTTACATATTGTCAGGACAATAAATAAAAACAGTCATATCTATATGCTCGTACATTGGTTACATTTGTTCTGGGGATTATTAGGATTTTTAATTTCGTCTATTATACAAAAGACAAAGACCATCGGCAGTTCTGAATAAGCCACTCAAACAATTAAGATAGCCTCGTGTTTCAATGTTCTTTCTATTGCTTAACTAAACACTAAGGAAAGGTATGAGGGATGTTGCATGTATACATTATCCCTCATGTACAGACTCAATCAAACTGAGTCAGCAGTTTTCTTGTAAGTGTGTTGTGATTAATGCTTCCCCGGAATCACTTTGTTTCCAGATTTTCATAATTAACCATCATTAAAGACCAAACCTTAATTTATAAAAAAAAATATATTCAATACACAAATACCGTCACTCTTACGTTTAGGATGGAGACAAAGGGCGGAGTTACAACGGTCGGTGGAGCAGCATTCGAAACACAATGACGTTTCCCTAGATACAAGACCTCTTCCAACAATTGTAGAAACTGCAGCATGCGAATCACAATTCTGAATTAAAGTATTGGTAAAGAAGGTGAACAAAAAGAACAGCGATAAGGCGCACGCTGTTTAATTACTAAACGTACAAATAGAAAAGGAGGCGTTCGAGGACGAGTAGTTAAGATCATTGACTTCAAACTATTTGCCCCTCACCGCTATCGGTTCTTATCCCATCATGGGCTTAGATTTCGTTCATGTAAGGAAGCTACCCAGCTAGCTTATGGATCGCCGGTGGTTCTACTCAGATGCCTGAAATAGTGCATGCGGTCTTCCTTAATCCGTAAAGCTGGAAAGTCGCAATATGACATTAACAGCGTTGATGCGACGTTAAATCGAACAACAGAAAGCAAGAAAATAAAAGAAATTGACTTATTTCTAGCAGAAATATGTCCATTAACTCAACTTCAATACATTTTTATTTTCAGACTTTCATATCAAACAAAATACATTATCACTCATATCTTATTACATTTGGTATTTTTGTACGCGCAATTGAACTGTTTAATGTGATTGAAACTTTCTTGGAGGATATAAAAAAATCTCCTTACAAAGCAAAAATTGTTTGTCCTTTATGTTTTTTATACATTTTTGTCATTTCTGACATGTGAATTTCTTGTTCAGTCTTTCATAAATCACAGATCAATATGTTGGTGTGAAATAATCTATTAAGTCTATTTAAAAATCCATTTAAACATTTTCATTGAATAGGAGAATTTTAAATACCTGATTATCAATGCACCCAAGACTCTGTTGTCCTGCCGTCAGATTTTGGTAACAGGACTGGAAAAAATAATTTTCAAATATTCATGAATTGAACATATGTTATCGGCTGACTGACAAAGCAACGTAATGTGACACACATAAAATACCCAAAACTTTTACAATAATAGTTTCACAATTTCAACTGTATGACATTCAATAAGGCAAATACGACATTTTTATTAATTATTCCATCTCATGAAATTCTTCGATCTTTCTTTTCAAAATAATTGAACAAATAATGTCTATTGAAAAGAGATAGGAAAATGATTGAATTTAATTATGTCCGAGGTAAGTAAGTAAGTCGTGTGTGTCTTTTACGTATAATTTTGGTTCACTCTATCTCATCATCACTGTTGTAAAGCAGTTTTAGCTAATATTTTTATCACATCTGTGTGGAATGTGATTTATTACTTTATCTACTCCGTACTTGAAATGCAAATGTTGTAATTTTGTATTCGTCTAGACTATCACAATTATATTCAAGTATCTTGTTTATCTTACCTATTAAATACTAATTAATGTGTATGATATTCAATTTTGCCTTACCTGACCAGCTGAACAGGACAGAGTGCTCGTTGTGATATTGCATTTAACTTTATCAACAACATTTGAGCAGAAGTTGCTGTAACATTCAAGTGTTTCTGAAAAACAACATTGGTCGTAAAAACATTCGTGTATTGACAACAAAGGTATCACTACCTATTTCAACCCAACGGCGTACTGTATTCTTGTCACTTTATTACTCCTACATAGAAGATAAAAAGTGTAATTAGGCGTTTATAAATCCTACGTATGACTTTATTTCTCTCTAAGTAGGACTTTATAACTCCTACGTAGGACTTTATATCTCCTACTTAGAACTTAATAACTCCTACGTAGGAAATAGAACTATAATTCGGAGATTACATCTCCCACGTATGACTTAAAAGCTCCTAAATAGGAGATTGCAGGAGTTATAAACTCCTTATTAGGCTTTTTATCTCCTTCTTAGTAATTATACATTTGTAATAGTGCATCATAAATCGGCACCAGAATGCTTCCGTACATATATATGCAGTGCACGGGCGGTGGATGGCAAGAAATAACCGACCGCTGTTTATATCATCGCTTTGTTTTGTAAGACATAGACCATTATTTCTGAATTGTATGGTGGCTGATTTGGTACGATTTGCGTCTTGCGTTGTCCATAGCGACAAGGCAACCTATATTGTTATCACCTTTTTGTTCTGTCGCTATATTGGCAGACTGTCGTCTTGTCGTCCTGTTGCTAGCAAAGCACATCAAACGGCGCGTTGTCATGCAGCGCGTTGCCGTGATGTTGCCCTGTCGCTTTGCTAAAAAATATACAAATAGCCAATCCTTCAATTTAAGCCTAACGCGAGGTGACATCGCGACAACACTCATCAGAACATCGCGCCGTTTGGCGTACATCGTTATTGACAGGACGACAAGACAAAAATCTGACAATGTGCCGTACTGCCCTTTGTCGTTTTGTCGTTAGCCACAACACGACGCACAGAAGTGTTCTAAATCAGCCACCATTGAAAATTGACAATGTTTGTTTCTTCAAGTTTTACTTTTTTTATTTGAAGTGAATGAAATTTAGAGACCATTTATTTTTTTTTATATTTGTAGAATTTAAGATCTTTTAAATATGATAGCTGATTTGTTACACTTTTGCTTGTGTCAACACAACAAATATCGATATCACCTTTTTGTCTTGACGTCTTGTCGCTGCGAAATGCGCCAAACTGCGCGTTTTTAGGCGGCGCGTTGTCGCCATGGCGCACTGTGTTTGGCTTATATCTAATGGTTGGCTTCTAATTGTGATGTCAAATGGCTCGTCGAAGCTCCAAATATTCAATTCTTCTATAAGCGACAATGTGCCATCGCGACAACTCGCCGTTTGGCGTGTTTGCTAGAGACAAGACGACAATGCGATAAGGCGCCGTTTTGCGCTTTGTCGCCGCATTGTTACCACCGACAACGCCACGCACAAAAGTGAAACAAATCAGCCACTTTATTTAAACGATTCTTTCAATATAATTATACAAACCAGAGTATCCCACCAAGGCTATAAGAAGCACCACATAAATTGCGTCAGATAAAAGATGAAAGATAAGCCAATCAGATACCAAATTTTACTAGAGCAAATTTTTTGCTTAATATCAAGTTAAAATTAAATGGAAAAATCAAAAGTAACTTTAGGTAAAACACTTATGGTAGTTACATGCGTAATTTATTAAAGAATTGTTGATTTATTTAATCAATTACGAAGCAATAGCATACACTTCATGCATAATATTCTAGATTTTCTTTTTATCAAAAAAAGGAAAAGACAGAGACAGAAAGACGACGGAATTTTATTCATTTCTCACAATATTTTGAGCATAAGTGTTTTTTTTCTAACATAACGGCTTAAGAGTTTATAGTTTATCAAATGCAAAAACAATGGCGTACAAATCATGTTGAAACAAAGCACTTAAATTTCGTTCTATATTTATGTCATAAAAAGGAAATCTAAAACAACTCAAATTCATTCAAAGAAACAACCAAAAATTACATGATCGAACAACTTACAACATTCTACTTTTCATCATTATCAAAATAAAATATATTCTATATGATTTATTTCTTTAACTTACCCATATTTGTTCAGTTTTCAAACTACAATTTCTATTGAAACATATTCATCTAAAGTTCCCTGAAGATAACGCTCGATTGTGACATATATAATTGTGAACTATGTAGTCAAAAGACAATGCTATGACATAGATATAGCCTGTTTAGACTGCTCTTATTATAAGAGAATATTTCTGATATGAAATCAAATGTATGACATGTACATTATAGAGTAAAGGCCAATTCATTTGAATATAGCTACACTTAAGTTTATACGACTTAAATACTTAAAGCTAAATTAAGCTTATTACAACACTTTGGAACCAAGCAGTTCTTCAATTTATTGCACAAGGAAACAATGTCATGCCCCTAACGGCTTTGGACCATGCCGCCAGAAATCTTTTGATTGATACTCCGAGTCGTTAACCACTCGGCTATAGTGCCATAAACATATTAATGCTGTACACGAATGCGGATATCTGGTCACTTTTTGGGACATAATGGTCTATGTCAGTATACAAGGGTTTCTAAATATCAAATTAAACTTAAAAAGCTATAGTTAATGAAACTGCATTTTGTACAGTTCTAATCGGTGTCACAAGTTGGCCGCCGAATTTTAAGGTAATTAAAATATAGAGTAAGTTGCACTCAAATTCAATAATTTAAATGACAATGTATATTATATGACCACACAATATATTAGACATATGAATGAACAGTTTTTTTGCATGTCGGTATAATACCTTCATGTCATATCAACTATTTTAGTAGATGTTTGACCATATGTTTCCTCTAATTGCTTGCATATCTTATTTTAATGAATGATATACGATATTTCTAAAAAAATTTTAAAAGATTAAGTTCAATTTTTTATAATGATAAATTCAATTTAGTTAAAGATTTCTGTTATTGTCACGCCTTCTTTGAATTTT